AAAAAAAAAAAAAAAAAAAAAAAAGAATAAACCAGAAATGTCCCACTATTCAAATAATGGCTCAGGATTAACTCTCTTAAAGATACTTTTGTGTATCTTTAAGATACACAAATTTTCTAGTTAGGGAAACTAGAGATTTACCCAAAAGAGATGCAATTAATGATCATTTTAATCTTCCTTTCTCAGCTAAGTTGCTTTGAAAAGGTAACAAAATGGACTTGTCCTCCCACAAAACCTAGACCCTCCCTTAAAATGGTGCAAGCTAGGACACAAAAGGCTCTTTAGACGTGACAGTTTCAGTTTGGCAGAGAGATATGGCTGATAGGTGGACAGGGGAATGGAGTGAGAGGATCCCATAGAAATATGCAGTGGTTAGCTGTGTTTTATGTCCTTTCAGTTTTGTTTTTGTTGTTGTTGTTGTTTGTTTTTTGGTACCAGGGATCAAACTCGGGTATTTGCATTTGCAAGGCAGGAAGCAGCACCACTGAGCTAAACCCCCTGGCCCATCCTTTCAGTTTTTTCAACTATTATTTCTCACTTCACCACAACGAAGTCCTGTGATATGGATATTATCAACTCTGCATTTACCCCAGCACTTATCCCTGTGCCCAGGGGAGTGCTAAAATTGATGCTACAAGATGAAACCCTCCATCTTGAAAGCCCTTTGGTTTCTGCAACATTACTCTAACCTCCCCTCTTCCTCATCACCCTCAATTTTCTCTAGCTCCTTTTCTTCCATTTGCTACTTAAAAATGAATGCTGCTAAGAGTTCTGGCCTTGGCTTGTTCCTTACACTAAGAAAACAATTACTTCCGTGCTGTCACACCTATGTATGGATGGCTCCCAACTCCACAGTTCTAGCTCCAATAAACTGAGCTCCAGACTCTAATGTAAGTACCACAAATTCAACTGCAACACGGTGAACTCACTGTTCCCCTCCCCACAGGGCACTGGGGGTGGGAAGCAATCACGTCTTTTTAAGTTGATTTTCTCATTTACTGATATTCATACTGGCTTTCAAGCTAAAACCCAGTTCATCTCTGTTTCAAATTCCAGCAGATACCATAGCTTAATGATTCTCCCTCTTAAATGTCTTATTAATCTACTACCTTCTGCCTCTTCCTTCCTCTGATGAAAGAAAACATAACAAAAGGTTCTTCTAATTGATTTCTGTTCTCTTATCCCACCCTTCACAATGCATCCTATAAATAGCCAAAGTTATCTTTCTAAAGCATCAATCTGTTCATGCTGTTCCTCTGCGCAAATAATTAATCAGCCCAACTACCAACAGAAGAAAGGCCACCACATTTAAGCTATTTCTTCCTTCCATGGCTTTCCTCCCCGCAACACCTTTCATGATACCCATATATTGACATGTATTTTCCACCACTCCTCACTGATCCCTCTACCAGACTGCTGGCCTCTCTATTCTGCCTCACAAACCTTTATGCATCCTCTTAGACCTAATTCAAATACAACCTTCTCAATAAAGTCTTCCCCAAATTACTCTCACAAGCAGAACTGATTATAATCTCCGCACACCAGATACACCCATTATGCCACTAATCTCATCTAGGGCTAGTTTTAGACATCACTATACACGCCCGGTAGAGAGTCCCTTGGGCAATAATTCTCTTATAACTTTTCGTACCACTGGACCAAGTAGACGGCTAAAAAGAGTAGGTGTACAAAGAAGATTTAAGAAAAAAATAATGGGTGATGTAAACGTCATGCATTGCAGACATGTACTAATAAGACTTTTAAAAATATAATGAGTAATTGTGTACTATTACAATATTTTTAAATTAAAATTATTCATTTTGGGGCAATCAGAAAAGTCATGATTACAATCTATGCGAATTTTTCAAATGATTTTCCCTTGACAGAAAGAAAGTGATTAGAATTTCCTAAATGATAAACACCACCGAAGGCACACAGTTGTCCAATGTGGCCAACATATTGCATAAAACTTGCTCCTATGGACACTGACTTAGAACCACAGCAGTCCTAAGTCTAGAAATTTTGGAAGGTCTACAATTTCTGGAACTTTGTAGGAAATGAGGATAGATCTTCCCTTTTGTGAATTAGAAAAATTAAAGTAGCAAGAGTTACATGGTCTTACTAATGTCTTACAGCTCATAGTAACCAAATCTTCCAATTTCCACTTTGATACCCTTTCCACTGATACTAACTGAATGGCAAAAATACCATTACATATTTGAATGCCACTTTGAATCTATGAAGAAAATGAAGGTAACACCATTAATGAAACCAACAGCCCTAAGCAGAGGGCGATCCTAATCCCCTGCAAAGGCAGAGCTAACTTACTCTGTTAGCTTCATCGGCATCCTCTTCATTGATGGAGCTTGAAGGGGAGGGAGTAGCTGATTTGCTTGCTGGGGGTGAAGGAGATGTGTGCGGCATACTGGCACCACCCAAATTCAAGCCCAGCTGGGCACTGAGCTGAGACTGGTTGATGGTGGTGAGCTGGGCTGGTGCCATGATCCCAGAGCGGGCAGCATCAGTCATGTGGACGATGGACCTCATGATCAAGGAGGGATCCTGGCGGTACTGGGAGACTTGTGTGTGGCTCGGATCCTACAAAGGCAACAGCAGAGGGGAAAAAGATTTCAGTTTTCCCAAGTATCAATAAACTTGATAGTTCAAGGACGGCAGTTCCTCAGACAGATTCAACTTGTTGCAGTGTTGACAAGACTGACCTATTTACAGGATGATAACCTCTGAGTTTATTAAAGAGAAGGACAGTGCCAAAAAGTTGAAAAGTCAGAAACACAAAATCCAGTATCTAGCCCAGGCTGTTTTACTATAGAACTGTTCTTGGATGATTTGAAAAAGAAAAAGAAAAGATAAACTTAAAACTCTTGCTACTCCTACTCATGGAGAAAACTAGTGGCGGGGAGAAGTCTGAAGCAAAGACCCACCCTTTCCAGTTCACCAACTGGTGGGCATCCTTTGCTCATACAGTGGTGGTTCCACTGTCCCCTCTCAGCTCCGGGAGAGAAGTCAGTCCTTTACTGTATCCTTCCAGGAATGCACATGAGAGGCAGAGGATGGGCCAAGGAAGCAAGAAGCTCTGATGTTACAGGGCAACATCAGTTTGCTTTAGGACATCCTTTCTGCGGCGTCTTCCATGGCTCACCAAAGGGACACTCCAGTTCTGAATCACACTGTCAACTACATCTGGAAGTCATTCAATGTCTTTCGGAATGGATACCTCTTCTTTCCTTAAACCTACTTTGTTTACTTCTGTTCATTCTGCCAATGATTCAATGTACTAAAGGATTTTTAAAAATATGTAAGAACAAGAAGGTAGAGATTGTCAGAATTAGTTTTCTGTAAGTTATTTCAGTGACTTTGAAAGGAGCCTTCTTTGCTTTTTGGGTGATCATACAAAAGGGTCTAAAGTTATTGAGGCTTCTTTTTCTTTCTTTTTAATTCTAAAGAATCAAAAAATGAATACATGCTTTTCAAATGACTTCCTTTAAGACCTGTCATTTAGCGTGAGTCTGATTTTACTGAAATCAAATTCTCTGGACTTCCAGTGACCCAGAATCTAATTTTATATACAAGCCTAAGAATTTTATTTTTGCTCTTTAAAGAAGCAAAATTAATTGCAAATAACTAAATTGGAGCACATGGTTTAATATTAAATGGACAAATGCCACTAAGGAAGGAGCTGTATCATAGGAATTGAACAAATTATGATCTGCTCATACTACAGTGTTATGAAATTTTTAAAAATAATGAATTAGATCAGTTTCCCAGTCTTGCCTCTACAAACATTTTGGACTGGGTTATTTTTGTTGCAGGGCAACTCCTATGTGCTGTAGGCACCTTAGCAGCCTCCCAGCCTCTACCCACACCAGATAATGATAGCACCCCCTACCACCACCACCACCACCACCACCAGTCATTATAAGAAATGGCTCTAGACATTGGCCTCTGGGGAACAAAAATCACTCCCAGTGGAGAACCTCTGATCTAGAGTGAAATCCAAGATTTAGTGAGTAAAAGAAGTTACAAAATAATTGTGAGGTAAATCCCCTTTATAATAAAAGAAAGTGCATCTACTCTGTTGACAATGATGACATTATAAGAGGTGGGACTGGAGGAGTGGAGAAGGGAGTTTTAACTTTTTCCATCTATATAATGCGTGCTTTTTTGAACAGCAGTGACTGAAATACAAAACAAACTTGAATCGGGTAAAACTAAACAGGGTAAGATTTCATGTCAGTTATATAAATTTCTCATTTTCTCAATAATTTCAGAATTAATACTGCAGAATCTTGGAAAAACTGTCACCCTTCCATGTTTGACAGCAATGTTCTCTTCGTTTTTTTCTAAAATGTTGCACAGTTCTGGTAGGCAACCCTCTTCAGGCTTGTGTCACCCAAGTGTGAACATGTTTCTTATTTTTTTTAATTGGCATTCTACCCTACAACATACCCACTTTGAGCTGTTTGTCCACTCTTCTGTGTTCTTCTGGAATTGGACCACTGCTCATCTAAGTCATTTCTACCCTCCGACGATGGGCACTGAAACTAGCTACCTTAAGTTATCTTAATTTTACTCTCCACAAACATCTTCTAGGATGCTTTTTAAATTTTCGAAAGGCTTATTTGAATCTGGATTTTTAAAGTGTCAACAAGCAAATTCCAGAGTACATTGACAGCTATAAACTATGATAAACTAATTTATGCAGCTTTCTCAACAGAAGGGTTACTTTGCTCTTTTTGCTCCACTGCCTGTGAAAAATCAGCAAAGACAGATGCTTAGTTGACTCACAGCTACAGCATTTAGATGGCTGTTTCCTCCTGGCTTCACCAGGTCTTCCTGAATTCTACCTGTCATTATACCTTCATTATAGACCTGGCCGCTTAAGAGAGCCTGCTGATGGACAGCCGAGGGCCCTGTCCTATAAAAGAACTTTGCTGAGTATTTACTCTATGCCAGGATTTGCATTAAATTTAACATGAATTTTCTCACTGAATCCCCTAAAACCCCTTCAGATTTAGATACTATGACTATACCAATTCTCAGATAACAGTGATTGCCTGAGAGCGTCAAGCCCACTAGTGACCCTTACTCTTTACTCGGTGGAAGAGCTGTGCTCTAGGGGAGTCGGTTGCGAGGGGTGCTCAGAGGTAGACGTTGCCAACAGAGGGCAAGGAGAATGGGCCTGCACTTCCACCACCATCAGCCCCCTTTCAGGATATCAACTTCACTCCTTTTTGTTTTACAGAGCGAGATCCTCATTCTTCTTTTTTTTTTTTTTTTTTTTGTTTTTTT